GAAGATACAGGTGTATTGCCTAAGCACCATGGGACTGCCATCCATAATTGCAGAAGAGAAGGCTTTAAAGTGTGCTCTGGAAGAAACCCATTAGGTATGGGTAATTTAAATATAATCTTCCCAAACAGGTGGTAACTACACGTTTAAATTTTCATCAGTATGTGCGAGTTTGTATTACAGGTAATCCTTGATTTATGCTACAATTGGGACCAGCTATCCATTGTTTAAACAAGGTAGTTGTTAAGTGAGTTGAGGCTGATGATATGACCTTTTTTGCCATGGCTGTTAACCAAATCACTGCAGTTGTGGAATGAATAACATAGTTCATTAAGCGAATCCAACTTCTCTCATTGGCTTTGCTTGTTGGAAGCTGGCTGAAAAGCAATCACATGACCCTGGGGTGCTGCCACCATGATAAACATGCCTGTTGCCAAGCGCCTGAATTTTTAACAAGTGGCCATGGGATTCTGCAATGGTTGCAAGTGCAAAGACCATTTGTAAGTATTTTTTTTCAGCACCATTCGAATGGTCAGCAAAGAAATAATTATAAGTCAAGGACTGCCTGTAATTTGTGTTTAGAATAGAATAGAATAGAATAGAATAGAATAGAATAGAATAGAATAATAGAATTAGAGTAGAGCAGAGCAGAGCAGAGCAGAACAGAACAGAACAGAACAGAACAGAACAGAACAGAACAGAATAGACTTCTTGGCCAAGTGTGATTGGACAGACAAGGAGTTTCTCTTTGGTGCATATGCTCTCAGTGTACATAAAAAGACAAGATACATTCGTCAAGAATCATAAGGTACAACACTTAATGATCGTCTGTAGGACTCAACAATTAGGTTAGGGCATTCTGGAGTGAGTTGGCAGAACATCTTTTAAATCTGTATCAGCCTGCACTAACTATTGTCTGGAAGATACCCTGTGATGTTCCGAAAATAACCTTTATAGATTAAAACCATTTATTTATTTGTTTGTTTGTTTGTTTGTTTGTTTGTTTATTTATTTATTTATTAAATTTTTATACCGCCCTTCTCCCAAAGGACTCAGGGCGGTGTACAGCCATATTAAAACCACGTATACCTATAAAATTTAAAAACAGTTTAAAATATATTAGAAATTTGGCCCTTATATTAAAAACTACAAACACCCGATTAATATTCATTTTCTAAGCCAGCCCAGCCTGTTGAAACAATAGAGTCTTAAGGGCACAATACAATTTCCCACTGTATTTATGAGGAAAATTTTCCTATGATGTTGAAACCTTGGTATCAAAATGCAACAAACCGTGAAAAAATGATTCTTAGCAGCTTTTTTTTTTTTGCTGAAATAAGAAATAAAAGCCTTAAATAGGTTTAATCTGATGCTTACCTAAATTGAAAAAAATGTTTAACACCCATCCTGCCCCTTCTCCCCCCTCCCCCTCCCCCCAAAAAAAGGACAACTCCAGCTCAATTTTTGCAATAAATAAATCTTGGTTTTTGAAAACAAACAAGAGTTAAGTTTAACAAGAGTTAAACAAGAATATTATCTTGGTCATCCCTAGAATTAGTTTCTAACAGATAAATTGCTTTCCAATTAAATTTCACCAGTTTCATTATAAATCATGGAAAGGAATCCCCCCCCCCCAAAAGACCACCAATGGCTAATAGGGGCATTTGGGGGAAAATGAGCAATATTAAGTGTTTATAAGCAAATAATTTTATCTTACAATCACTGATAAAAGTATTTTTCTACTACAATTTAATAGACCCTTGTTGCCCAGACAGTGCAAAGTTATGTTAAGTCAGGATTGAGAGTTGAACATTTTTATATATTCATTTCTATTTCAGCAATGTACTAGTCTGATTCAGAAAGGTTTCTTACACTGATAAATACATTTTTATATTAACCAGTACTATAAGTATTTGATTTCTTTGTCTCAATCTTATACCATACAAATTTCCTTTGTATTTTTAAGAATCTGCTTCAAAATTTTCTAACCTTATAATTATTAAAAACTTCATCAGCTAAACAGTGGATTGATCTCAACCCAAATGCATATTACACATTGTAATATGCAATATTGCATATTGTTTTCAATATCCGAAAGGAATAGCGTCAAATCAAGTATCTAATGATGCTCCAAAACATTGTATTATACATTTATCAACAAAGAAGTTAGATTTTTAAGCAAATTCTGAATGGATCACCTCACATTATACACTGCTACTACTTGGCTTACACTACTATGCCTTTCGTTAATCATTTTTTTCAGTACTTAGCAGAACAAGGTAAATATATGTGCATATGTTATGGGAATTAAACCATTGGGAAACCTATTTCTAAGCACCTTAGGTATGCAGCCTATTACATGTTGTAAGCTACTATTATATGGCTTTCTAGAAGTGTATCAGCAGAAATGCAGTAATTTGGCAAAGAGATGAAGTAATGGTCCTGCCACTTCTAAGCGTAAATTTTCCTAAGAATCATTTTGTATGTGTGCATATACATGTGTGTTTTAATATGTGGTCATATAATGTGTGTTTTAACATGTGATCATCAACATAAGAGATATCAACCCTCCTAAATAAATTTGGGTATAAATAAATATATGCAAGCAATTTAGATAATACAAAGCCAAGGCTGCAGAATCAACAGAGCCATTTCAGCAGATGAAAGATATTACCATTTTTTTATAGTAGTAAATGCTGAGTAAATGTCATACCACTTTAATTTAATTTAATTTAATTTAATTTAATTATAAATTTAATTTATAATTCACAAAGGACTCCCTTTTTTGTGTGAACCTCAGTTTCCCAGATTGTAAATTTCTGTACATTGTGCAATAGCCTAGTAGTCCCATATTCATTTATTGTTATACATATCCTGCCTTTTAAAATGACAATATTCCAAACATCTTATGAATTGTATTTTTTTTAAAAAAACTGAAATAATTACTGAATAACAAACTGTTAAGATCATTTCCAAAGGATCGTTGCTCCTCTGTTCCTCTTTCTTCAAAGGATCCTGAATCTGAATAGAAACACATTCACTGTTGTCTTGACCATTAAGGAATAATTGCAAATTGCAGAAAAATTCTGAAAAAATGTTCTAGGGAAACATACTTAATTCTTGGGGCCAAACTTCTCTCACTATAGGAAATTACGTCCTACTTCAGAAAATTACCAAGAGATAGCTAATGTCTTTCAGTGACAATATTAATTTCCTCATTAGTAGTTCTCCTTTACTTACAAGGAACATCCAGATACCAGAAAAAATGTTTTCATCAAAATTATGAATATTACTGAGTTACATAACTCAGTCCTCTTACCTTCATTATTTATTACAGAAATAATATTTCCCTGCCTTCCTAGTAGCTCCTAGATACCAATATAGCAGGGGTGTCAAACTCAGGGGCTGGATCCGGCCTACAGGGTGCTTAGATCTGGTCCATAGGGCCACCCAGGACTGGCCCGCGATGCTTCTGCCAGCAAAAGCAGAGCTCCCTTTTTGCTTGGAGATGGTTGTGAGGCCATTGCAGGCTAAAACGGAGCTCAGGAGCCCATTTTCACTGGCAGAGAGCTCAAGCCACCACAGGCACCTCCGACATGAATGACGTTGAGCTGGCCATTCCCACTCTGGCCACGCGCACTCCTGGCCCCTGAGATCAAAAACAACCCTGATGCAACCCTCAATTAAATCGAGTTTGACACCCCTGCAGTATAGTAAATATCTAATTGATTGTCCCTTTGTCTGTATATTATTACGTGAGCTATTTGATCATAATGTCAAAGCTTTAAAAGATGGAGCAAAGGGAAGCAATCGCCATTCTCAGAAAATGTGTTTGCCTTCTAATTTGCCACAATTTAACTCAAATGACAGTAGATGAGGAAAAAAACTGAAATGTGACTTAAAGTAACTATTGGCAAAAAGTGTCTTGATCGTTGGGAGAGAGGAAGAGAGCACTGACACCACATAGAAACCCCTAAATATTAAATATCTTGTTAATAACATGGGCCTGCTACTGCATGAAGTGTTTGGATAAACTAAAAAATGGTAGAATACAAAATGCTTGAGTGCTACCAATCATTTCTGTGTTTGCTCTTACTATTTGCAGTAAAATGGAACAAGTTGCAATAGTCTTGCAACTATATGAAAATTAGCAGTGAAATTAAACATTGGAAAAGAGTTCAAAGAGAACAAATTAAGAAATGCTGGAGGAAAAAAAATACTCTGTTGATTGATCTGATTAATTTTGAAGTTACTACGATAGATTGACAGAGGGCAGAGACACATCACAGATCTCAAAGTAGTATTTCAATTTCTAGATCATATCTAATTTATAACTAGGTTTAACTTGCTCTAATTTACTAATGAATAGTTGATGAATTAAGCCAGCATCACTTTAATCAGGGATATTGTTTATTTGTTTTAGTTTTCATCCATGTCCTAAGGAACAAACCTTAAAAATATTTTTAAAATATTTTAAGCATATTAATTACATTGCAAGATCATTGGCACGTGTGCTGATATCTCACAAAAGATATTTTATATGCAAGTTTTTTAGCATGAGGAATTACTTAAGACTATTAGCTAATTTGTTTGGATTAGTAAATACAATATTGACAATAATTGTATAGTTACATAATATACAAAATATAATTAATGAAGACTAATTGTCTCCTCATATTTGGAGCATGAACAGTGTAGACTTTCAAGCAGTAGAATTTGATTTTAATTGGATATGTACAGTATGATTCATGCATGCATGCACAACAATTAAGATTGCTTTTAATATTACAGTAGAAATTCATTGAATCTACAGATCGTTCTGTTTTGTGATAAATACCTGTTCAGTAATATTTGTTATAATCTTTCAGGGTGAAAAACCTGACAAAACAACATGTTCTGTAACTGATGGTGAACAATGAGTCTTTGTTTGAACCTGAATGGTGAACATGTTTGTTTGGTACAGTACCTGTTCCTCTTTCACAGTTTTCATTCTTTTGTTGTAGGAAGCCCCATATGTTATGTGGAAAAAAAAACAGAGAATTGTTTGAAGGGAATGAGAAGTATGAAGGTTACTGTGTAGACCTGGCATCAGAAATTGCAAAGCATATTGGCATCAAGTATAAAATTGCTATTGTCCCTGATGGAAAATACGGAGCAAGGGATCCACAGACAAAAATCTGGAACGGGATGGTGGGAGAGCTTGTATATGGGGTAAGCATTCTTTTGATGCAGGTTTAAGCTTAAAATTATCAACAGTGCAACTATAACTATAATATGCAGGCTGTTGCAGCCCATTCATGACCAATCATGAACCCTGAGGTCATGCTACTGCAATTTGACAACCAAAGTGACTTTTTATGGCCTGTTAAATAAGAAAAGGCGTTTTAAAGGGGGAAAGGGGTTAGTAAGAACAAAAGTAGCAGTTAAAACCCCAAAATTGAGTCTGAAAAAATGTTAAAATATATTTATCCTCCCAGTGATATTGTCACACATAGAATAGAATAGAATAGAATTTTTATTGGCCAAGTATGATTGGACACATAAGGAATTTGTCTTGGTGCATATGCTCTCAGTGTACATAAAAGAAAAGATACATTCGTCAAGAATCATAAGGTACAACACTTAATGATAGTCATAGGGTACAAATAAGCAATCAAGAAACAATATCAATATAAATCGTAAGGATACAAGCAACAACCACATTGGCATACTTGCAAGACATTGGTTGCCTGGTAAAATGGTTTGCAAATCTAACCCCAGCAAATGATGGTACACAACACTTAACATTTATTAAAAATTAATAACGATTAATTTCACAATTTTTTATAAATTCTTCAAAGATGAGAGAAAAGGACATGAAAAGAAGGCAGATTGCAACAGCATTGCTTCTTTTGTAAACCCTTCATGTATGTTCACGAAACGCTCGAGTTGGAGAGAAAATTGCATTTTTGTGCTGGAAGATACATTAAAACAATTTCCCTTTGAAGGGTCATTTGTCAGAACATTTGAACTAGTAAATGTAAAAATTCCCAGACAGTTCCCTCTTTTTTTTGTCACTTAGAGAAGATGGAAATGTATTTTGATTATACAAGGGAATTATTGGAGTATGAAAGTACTCATCAGAAATGTGCATTGGCCCTTAATATAGCAGAAGGAGATTTATGAGTTTACTATCACTGCTGTGTCCACCCTGTCCCCAGCCCTTCTGCATTGGTATTCAGTGGTAGAGGATTTTCATGTAAAAGCTATTTCTATCCCCAGTATTTCCAAATTAGAACTGGGAAGGACACCCCAGAGGTCAAAACAGAAGCAGAAAAAGTGAACAGTGAAAGAAAAGTTTGATTTCATTTCCTCTTCATTTCAGGAAGGCATCTTCATCAGTTAAGATTATTCTGAATGCTTCTTGAGAAACTGCAAGGAAAAACTCACCTTAAATCATATATATCTGATCAATAGACATATTTATATGGCATATTTTTTTTAGGTCTTCTTTTTGATTTCAACAGTTTGTGCAGTATTACAAGACTGCCATTTTTGTAGAAAGCTCTGGATTGTTCTAAATGTTAATTTTATTATTTATTTTATTTATTATCTCTTTCCCAAGCAGATTACAAAATTTTCTATCCTAAGTGAAGATAGGAATAGAAATATTTCAGGTTAACCGGTCAACTGGTTATTTTTACACTTTTGAATTGACCGATGAACTAAAAAAAAAACCCATCTTTTCTAAAGCATCAGAAGAGTATTATATTTTAATTTCATTGAAATAAATTGTCAGTTTAGTTCTGCATGTAGCACAAGCTAACATATCTCAGAAGTATGTCCCCTGGATCAAAGATAGTTTGCTCCTAGGCAAGATTGAGATTTTTAATCTGATTCAAGTGGATTAAGGAGGAAGCTCTATTAAAGACAATGAGACTTAGTTGAAACACTGAAGCTTCTTGAATTAAAAAAAAACTTCTTGCAACTATTTATGCTGAAGGGAATATGATAAGTAAATTTAGAGAAGAAGAGAGGATGTCAAGAGCTTTGTAGCTGTCTTTTTAATATGTTGCTCTGGTAAAAACTCCTTACTAGAACTAATTTAATTTGCAAGATTAGCTGTATTTTAATGCAGTTTTCATCATCTTTATCTATTGTACTTCTAAGATTTCAATAATTCCAATGCAAGTTGCATTTCGTTGTCAGATAATTTTAAAATGAAGCACAGCCCGCAGAGATAGGGTACATCTGTTCTTTCTTTCTACATTTTAATGACCAAAATATTAGCTACACAATGGTACAATTTTTGGAGATGATTTAGTAAAACCCTTTCTAGTAATGAAAGACATTAGCTTACATCCCGCAGATGTTCTGAAAAGCTTTAGCAGTCAAATGCAGTTAAATATTCAACTTTCTGCAGAGGAATGTTCTCTGTTCATCAGATAATGAATAAATGGTCACTGTCCATTTCTGTCATAGTCTGGGACAGATTCCGATGTAAAGTTCAAATAATTACTGCTGCATTGGACCAACCTTTCTTAGAGTAATATGTCAGAAAGCAGAAGTATAGTGGATTATGTGATTATATTTACCATCTGCTCTGTTTCACATTAGACTTCTTTTTAGATATAAACATGTAATAATAGATGTACTGTATACTATTACTTATTATGATTCCAAGATTCATGTTCACATGTAAGTTTAACTTGTAGTTGCTTAATGTAGACCAGGGATGTCAAACTCAAGGCCCACGGGCCGGATCTAGCCCGCGGGGTGCTTAGAACTGGCCCGCAGGGCTGCCTTAGAAACAGTGAAAGACTGTCCCGCGGTGCCTCTACGAGCCCCCCCCCCCCGGCTCTGTTTTTTTTTTTTTTAATTTGATTTATATGCTGCCCTTCTCCGGAGACTCAGGGTGGCTTACAATGCGTTAAGCAATAGCCTTCATTCTTTTGTATGTTTTTTATACAAAGTCAGCTTATTGCCCCCACAAACTGGGTCCTCATTTCACCTACCTTAGAAAGGATGGAAGGCTGAGTCAACCTTGAGCCTTGGAGAGATTCGAACCAGCAGAAATTGCAGACAGCTGTGTTAATTACAGGGTGCACTAAACCCCTGTACTATCAAGGCTCTTGATTTCTTGATTTTTCACTGGCAGAGGGCTGCAGGAGGCCGTTGTAGCCAAAAACGGAGCCTCAACAAGTGACATTCAGCTGGTCATGCCTACCCTGGCCACACCCACCCCAACAATGCCCACCCCGGTCCCCCAAGTTCAAACACAACCCTGATGCATCCCTCAATGAAATCGAGTTTGACACCCCTGATGTAGACTATAGGAAAGCCTTTCAGGGAGGATTGCTATATTGCATTGAGCTACAAACTGAGCATAGCCAAGAATGTTTTATTAATGTTAGAATAAGCAGTGATAATATGCACAATATCCACAGAGGTAGGGAATATACTAAATCCATACCTGAGTCACTTTTTTTTTGTTCAAGATAGACACAATGGTAGAGCAAAGCTCTGCATTAGGGATAGGTGAAAGAAAGATTTTTAAAAGTCTTTTTTTAAAAAAAAAATGTGGCTTTGGATGTTGGCACTTGAAGCTAAGCTTGGAAGTGGACTGAACATCTCATCTGCCCAACCAACTCTGAAAACAATGTCACTGAAAGCCACTTTTACTTGGCAGAAATGATATTTTCATTGCAAGCAAAAATAGTTTCCAGATTTGAAGTTAATTGATCAAATAAATAGGTTTCCCTACCTATGATTAGAAAGCTAAGGAGAGAACTGGATTTTATCAGCACTTTTGAGAACTCGGCAAAATCACTTCAAATTTTCCAAGATTTTTTTTTTTAAAGCTATGCTGGTAAAACTGAATTGATTTTTTGAGTTGGGATGGAGCGGTGAGTCCTTCTTTAATCTGTATGCATGCATAAATTCCTGAGTTTATTGTTTGGCATTTCAAATGCCCAATGGAACATAAGCAGAAAAGGCTACAGAAGACTACTTCTCAAAAGGGGCACCAAACATAGGATCAAACATGGGATTCAGGTAGCATGCCTCATCTAGAAATACAAAGGGTTCAATTTGGAACTATTTACCATATTTCATACACTCTTCTCACAATATTAAACTGCTGTATCCAACAAGAAGCCTGATAAATTCATAGATTATATAGAAAAACTATAGATTTTCTATGAGCATATGTCTTCAGAAAAGTCTGGTAGGTTGCTTGATTCTTGTCTTTAAAGATGTGTTTGGATATCTAGGCTGAGCAAAAGAAATCCTTTACCAGCAATCAAGGAGATCCATTGTAAATTGGTTTTACTGATCTACTGTATATAAATCAAGTATCTGTTTGGCTTTCCACTGTCTTCTTGTTGATCTACCTATGTAGTATAGGGTTTTCTACTTTGAAGAAGGATGGTTTTACCTAATATAATATAGCATAATGTATATTTCAGGATACAAGGCTGTCTGGATTTACATTAGCTATGCCCCTATCTTTAAGTAGAGTACAATTATACACACCTCTTAATTAACTGAAAATGAGTGTTTATCTCTCTCTAGAATTCTTCCTGATGTACTACCACTTTCTCCTTCCAAATGTCCATTCCTTAATTCCATTACAGTGTCTCCGGCACCATATTTTTGCCATTAGCCTCTATGTTAGCCATTCATTTTAGATCAGGGGTGTCAGACTCATGGGCCTGATGCGTCATGCGCTGGCAACGCCCACTCCCGGTTTAGCGAAGGGAAAAAAAAGTCACGCTATGGCAACGCCATGACGACGCAAGTTTGACACCCCAGTTGTTGATGGATCAAAACCTGTATCATCCACTTGTTGCAAAGTACAATGTCTTATTGTTTCCCTAATCTCTATTTGTTTGGGTTCTCCTTTTCTTTTTACAGAAAGCAGAGATTGCAGTTGCACCTCTGACCATCACTTTGGTGCGTGAGGAGGTCATCGATTTTTCTAAGCCCTTTATGAGCCTTGGCATATCCATTATGATCAAGAAGCCCCAGAAATCTAAACCGGGAGTTTTTTCCTTCCTGGACCCCTTGGCCTATGAAATTTGGATGTGCATAGTCTTTGCCTACATTGGAGTCAGTGTTGTCCTATTCTTGGTGAGCAGGTTTAGTCCATATGAATGGCATACAGAAGAGCCGGAGGATGGTAGAGAAGGACCCAGTGATCAACCTCCTAATGAATTTGGCATCTTCAACAGTCTTTGGTTTTCCCTGGGTGCCTTTATGCAGCAAGGATGTGATATTTCACCCAGGTTGGTATAATGCTAAAATTGCTCCTAAGTTTGCATTTTATCCTTTTGAGGATAGAGTAAGGTTAAGCATAGTCATAATATATACCCCATATGTATAAGCACAGGCATTTTTTTTATGATACTATCCTTAGTTTCTTATCTCTTTTGTTTGTGAAGTTGTAATTGTCTTATTTTCCAGTTCGATGTATCAAGCTATTATTGCCTTTCCATAGATTACTAATTCTTGGATCTTCTTTTTTTTTTTCTTTATTTGTAAAATTCATAGCTTAGAGCAAGGATAACAGTTCTCAATTTGGGGGCTAGAACTGTTGCAAAAGATGCTTGGAAAAAATGCCCAAGTTATAATTGTAAGAAAATGAAAAGAAAAAGGAATATTCCATTTTGTAAGGTTGCATTTATATTTTAGATTTTTTTAAAAAAATTGTGTGTGTGTGTGTGTAATATGATGCTTTGTCTCAGTTTAGGTGCCTCACAACAAAGAACCCTTTTTCACTAGCTCTCATAATATTTAATGTTTTCTCACAAGCATGTAGTAAATTGTGTATTCTGGAGATAACGTGTATCCCTAAAATCACTGATATAGACCCCTTAATGTCAGTGATAAAGGTAGAAGTTTCTATATTATTTGAAGGTAATTTGGAAATACATTCACAGTATTCTCAAATTGTGTTTTAGTTCCATTATGCAATTTCTCTTTTGGTATTTTGAATTAAAGTACTCATGTGAGCGATGCACTGGGTAGGACATAAATTGCTGAATTAAAATATTTTATTTATGTACTTGTATCCCCACTTCGTTACTTTTACAAATAACTCAAAGCGGTGAACATACCTAATATACCTCCATCCTCCTATTTTCCCCACAACACCCCTGGATGTATATGTATAAACTGTAGTCCCTTGAAAATCTTTTTGTGTGGTTTAATTAAAGATAGAAGTAAACTTAGGTCCCATCAGAAACTAAGTTAAGTCCTTAAGTTAATGTTAATTTAATTGAAATCCTTCTAAAATTAGTGGAACATTGGTTAGACAGAACTTATTTTCCTTATTCATACAGCAGTTTCTAACTTTTGTTCAAATAATCACATTCTGTAGTGTATTATGCACTACAGTGTATTATGTAGTGTATAGGATTATGCTACATAAGGCAAAATAGGTTAGAACGCAAATGATTTTGATATTTTTGGCCAAGATCCTTGCTCACACAGAGTAACTAAGTCAATGGCAATCACAAGTAATTTTCAATGAACAAGGTTTATTTTTTTTAATCAATCTTAATTTAGAAACTTGCCAGCACAGCCAAATAGATATTTTGCTTTGTTTTATCTTCCCTGTTTGTATCTCTGTAAAATATAAACAAAAATTAATTTTGGAGTTCACTACTATGAAAGGGAAGCAGTGGCTAAGACACTGAGCTTGTCGATCGAAAGGTTGGCAGTTCAGCAGTTCAAATCCCTAGTGCCGCGTAACAGGGTGAGCTCCTGTTACTTGTCCCAGCTTCTGCCAACCTAGCAGTTCGAAAGCACGTAAAAAATGCAAGTAGAAAAATAGGGACCATCTTTTGTGGGAAGGTAACAGCGTTCCGTGCACCTTTGGCATTTAGTCATGCTGGCCACATGACCACTGAGACATCTTCGGACAGCGCTGGCTCTTCAGCTTTGAAACGGAGATCAGCACCACCGCCTAGAGTCAGCAATGACTAGCACATATGTGTGAGGGGAAGCTTTACCTTTACTATGATATGAAAATCAATGGAGGGGGATTCTCCCACCAAAAACTAACCACCTATGCACTTCGTGTTCCATTACTTTTACAAAATGAGATCAACTGTAGTCAAATGGTCAATGGTATGACGATAAGTGGGCCCCAGAACAACTCATAATCATTGAAGGCACCACTTTGAAGGGAAGTAGAGCCCTTACTCTGAATACAACAGAAAAAATGGTACAGAACTTTTTACTGTGACAATCAGACTAATATTCCCTATCATGGACATTTTCATCATCCGTATCAACCTGGTTATCTTGGCAATGGGTTAATTTATTTCTCCTGAAAGACATTTTTATAGTTTTCAGCCATTCTTTAATATCCTTCTCACCAAGAGAAAGAGATATGAAAAAGTTCAAAGTAAAAGGATGGTTTATATCTTATAGATACTATTTTAATAATTCCTAATCTTGTGAGTTCATCTTCCTCTATCTTATTCATATTCTGTTCTCCCTTAGCTGATTTCCCTCATATATTTGAAATACTCTTGAAGTTTTCCATGTTGCCCATCTTGAGACTAGCAGGGCAGGAATATATGAAGTGTCTGACCAAATTTCATCCAGTAGCTGGTCTATATTGTCAAAAAACAATATTGTTTTAAATTACAAAATCAATCCAGAATAGTGCTTCGTTGGGGAGAGGAGATTGGATGCAAAGTTTAAGATTTTGTGCTAGTCGACTATTTTTTATAAGGAGGCAAGTCTATAAGGAATCATTTCATTAGCCTGAGTGGTGCAGCAGACTAATGCTATTGTTAAAGGTAGTATTTAGCTTCCAGCTGCCTGCAATTACTGCGAGTTCAATTCTCACCAGGCTCAAGGTTGACTCAGCCTTCCATCCTTTCTAAGGTGGGTAAAATGAGGACCCAGTTTGTGGGGGCAATAAGCTGACTTTGTATAAAATATACAAAAGTATGAAGGCTATTGCTTAACACCTTGTAAGCCGCCCTGAGTCTCCGGAGAAGGGTGGCATATAAATCAAAATTAAAAAAAAAAATTAGCAGTCTGTTCATACTTGTACACAGATAAATGATAGACAACCCCATTCTGCTAAAATGTCTTGACAGTTCCCATCAACTGTACCCAGCATTTCATGAGACCTTGTTCACAGTCATTCATGCCTTGGTCACTTCCAAGGCATGAGTGACTGTGTTTTGGGTTACTGCAAAACTCTCTACATGGGTCTGCCCTTGAAGACCACCTAGAAGTGAACCAGTGCATGCAGTGTTAGCACCCCCTAGCTTTGTACACATTTCACCCCTGTTGCATGAGTTAAACCTCTGGGTGCAAGGTCCTGGTTATTACAGTTAAAGCCCTACATGGCACAGGAATAAGCTATTCATCGCTCCCTGAGGTTAGCTGTCCATCCCACTAGATCAGATAGGGTGGGTAGGCTCCAGGTCCCTTCCCTGAAATATTACCAGTAGGGAGTCTTAGGAAGAACATTAAACATAATCATAGACCCAAACATTTGAGATCTCATTTTTGCCATATATTCAATTTTTTTGTGGGAAAGCAAATCTTAGTACTTAGTACTAATATGAGAAATAATAGTGAGAAACTATTTACTAAAGTAGTACAGTATAGTAATACTATACTATAGTATACTATAGTAATACTAGTATAGTATAGTATAGTATAGTATAGTATAGTATAGTATAGTATAGTATAGTATAGTATAGTATAGTATAGTATAGTATAGTATAGTATAGTAATACTTAGAGGGATGCGGTGGCTCAGTGGCTAAGACTCTGAGTTTGTCGATCGAAAGGTCAGCAGTTCAGTGGTTTGAATCCCTAGTGCCGTGTAATGGGGTGAGTTCCCGTTACTTGTCCCAGCTTCTGCCAACATAGCAGTTCGAAAGCACCTAAAAAATACAAGTAGAAAAATGGGAACCACTTTTGGTGGGAAGGTAACAGCTTTCCGTGCGCCTTTGGCGTTTAGTCATGCCGGCCACAAGACCACTGAGACATCTTCGGACAGTACTGGCTTTGAAACGGAGATGAGCATCGCCCCCTACAGTCGAGAACGACTACCACATATGAGTGAGGGGAACCTTTACCTTTACCTATAGTAATACTATAGTATAGTATAGTAATACTATAGTATAGTAATAATAATATACTATATTAATAATATAATATAATATAGTATAGTATTATTATGCTATTATTAATGTTCTAATTGATAAATACCCAAGGTGATTTCTCAGTACTTAGCTTGGAAATCATTCCATTAGCTCCTGTAGCAAGCAGCTCCTCCTTGTAAGAGATAAATTAAACTTTTATTCAGAGTATATTAGATTTTTCTTCATTCCCCACGCTGTCGTTGCTACATGCTGAAGTGTGACTCAGATAATAAAGAGAAATTTTATTAAACAGAACAACGACCTTATTATGTGACACTCACGATGATTGTTGTTTGATGAATACATTTCCTGTAATAATTTGTTTTGCTGCACCTTCTAGGAAAATACACATATCTTATTCCTATTTAGGTCCCTCTCAGGTCGCATAGTTGGAGGCGTCTGGTGGTTCTTCACGCTAATCATAATTTCATCGTATACCGCTAACCTTGCTGCTTTCTTGACTGTTGAGCGGATGGTTTCACCCATAGAAAGTGCAGAAGACCTCGCAAAACAAACAGAAATTGCATATGGGACTCTAGACTCTGGTTCAACAAAAGAATTCTTCAGAGTAAGTTGGTATGCTTCCTGAAATTCAATTTCTCCATCCAGTGTGCGGCCGGTACTATGTTCCATTACACCTAATCTGTTTTGCTTCTGTGGCCAATGCAATATTGAAGTTATTCCAGTTCAAGTTATTCAAGTTGTTTAAAAATCAAAAACAAGAACTGCTCCATTGGAGGCTTTGATAGGCTTTTTGTGATTGTAAGGTGTATTTCAGGTTGGTTTTTGTTTTATTCTGTGGCAGGCTTTGATGAAAAGCTATGCAGTTTTGCTACGTGCAGATACCGGATGAGAGAAAGTAGCTACATTGAAAATACATAGGATATGTTTCCAGCAGTTTGATCATTATCAATTTTGTTTGCTATGTTATAAGATATAAAAAATATCTTCCAGCAGCAGGGAAACAAGAAATGTTAAGTACTTCTAGGCAGTGGTGGGATTCAAATAATTTAACAACCGGTTCTCTGCCCTATTGGCCAGCTGGGTAGGCGTGGCTCGGTGTTTATGTGACCATGTGGGTGTGGCCTACTCAACGTCACTCACGTCAATAGGCACTTTGCCTTAGCTGTTACAATGTAATAAGGGTTAACCAGAGAGGCAGTTTCTGCAAGCAGGGCAATAAAGATTAGGTTTTAGAAAAAACACCAGAATGTTTCCTTCCTGCCTTCCTTACAGGATTAGCCCTGTAAAGTGGAAAAAAACAAAATAAGATTTCTTCCAACAACCGGTTCTCCAAACTGCTTAGAAAGTTAACAACCGGTTCTCCCGAATAGAAGCAAACTGGCTGAATCCCACCACTGCTTCTAGGTCCCACTGATATAAACATGCATTAACGTCTTTTCAGATATGATCTAAACATATTTTACTTTAGCTGTATTCACTCATTGACATTAAATGCTGGGCACAGACAAACAAAACATTCATCATTTGCTGCAGTCTTTAAACGCAAGTGAAGTATTTCTGAATAGAAATCTATAATGCTATGCTGTAAATCTCACTGTTATCAAGGAGACATAGAACTTTATAAACAGTAGTATCTGTTGTCACTTGTATTCTTGGCTGTCTGTCCGAAATATGAACTGGATATGGTTCACTGAAACTGTTTGAGATGTGCTAAGCAAGATGTTGGATCCAGAATTACTCGTATTTAAATTAGAACCATTAAAAATAAATATTTCAGGTAAGAATAAGGAAAGTGGAATGTTTCCCTTTGAATACATACTGACACTAATCATGGAAATCCCTTTGTATGCCAGGATTTGCATCTATTGTTTGCATACAAGACCATATGCTTAGATAGATCCTATATATAAGATCCAGACAAATGTCTGTTGATATTTAATGTGTTCTCCACTGAAAAAGGGAACTACAATGAAATTATACTTACCGGGGTATTAAGGTGTAAGGTCCTGCCTCTCCAGTCTTCTCAAGAAAGCAGCACTCTTGAAACGATTATCATTTCAAAATGAACTTTTATTGAAAGACAGTGATAGCAAAGGAAATGTAGGCAGGATCTGAAGCTTCCCGCTCAAAGCGTTTGGTTAAACTGCTACAAGCAAAGCCCCTCCCAATGTCCAGTTCAACATCAAGCCAATCCCAAGGTGCGAAGATGTTTGAGAACTTTGGGCAGAGAAGGTGATAACTGTCAACTCCCAGGCACTTCAGTATCACTCAAAGCACATTTTTCTCCCTCTCCCTAACATGATCTGAGGCACATTCCTCCCCCCACCTCCCTATTTCCCACAAGGTGCAGCAAAACAAAGCAAATGAAAGCAAAGAAACCCTGTGCAAAGAATCCCCCCCCCCCAGCCTCCCACCAGAATGGCAGCATCTCAATAGAAAACTATGGGACCTGACATAAGGTCTCTTAACAATAAATTAAATGGGTCATAAAAAAAGTTTCTAGGTAGATTATACCAACTTGTCTCATTTTTGTAAAGGGTATCTCTTTCTTTTATCTCTTACTTGAACAATTTCAGTATAGCCACCTGCATTTTGTGAAATGGGCTCCTATATAAATTTGATAGATAAATAAATAATTTCATAAGTTTTTTTTAATTTAATATTGTAGTAATAGATAGTGTAATGTGATAGCTATTTCAAAAGAAAGGGGTAGAATCCATAGTAATAGCAGATTAATTATGATACAGGTAGATGGTTATTTTGTGACAGTTATTTCAGTATTATTGTGGATGCTGTCATATATTTCTGCAATGATCTTTTAAAGCAGAAACAGGGTAAGCTCAAATACAATTATATTTAATACATTCAATTGTTTATATTAAAAATATTTTTATTTATGGGGATCCCAACATTACTTTTTGTTCCATTCACTATGGAAATCAGAGCTAGATCTAGAAATGTCATAAGTAGACTATGAACAAGTTACTCTGAAGCTAGTCCATCAAACAGATATTTTAAGCATACATCTGGATAGTTCAGACATGAATATCAACTATTTGTTATTCTTTGACTTGCTTTAGGTACAAAAGCAAGTAGGATCACACTGAAAACAATATAATAATTACAGGCTTTGGATTTATTGATCCCAAGCAAGCAATCCAAGGACTTCCTCTTATATCTGTGCAAATAATCAAGAAATGGGAACAATCTTGAACTAGGAAGTTTTTTTAGGCTATATAGGGATTAATAGCCTATTCAACTTTTTTTTTTAAAAAAAATCGCATCTTCAAAAATAATAATTCACTCTATTCCTAGCCAAAGTTAGAATAAAATGTTTTACTTTGTGTGAATCATTAGCTCTAGAAAGTACACCTAGTACTCAATAGATTTACTGCCATTAATTCTGACTTCTAGTTACTGTTGTATGCACTCATATATTTTTTTCTGTTTGTTCCGGATTATATCTTTAAAGGACTTCAAGAACCAGGCATAAAATAGTTAAAATCTATTAGCTGTATGCCTGTCAAAACTGCAGTCTACTTTCAATGAAAGCATCTCTTTCTATCCAAAGAGACCTATTTCCTGTGGTGGAGTAACCAAATGACTCTTGATTTTATTCGAGATAGCAACCAGGTTTTGCAAGGCTCTTCTTCCTTTGTTGCATCTAACCTCCTTTTAATTTCCTTCAGAGATCTAAAATAGCGGTATATGAAAAGATGTGGGCATACATGAGCACAACAGACCCATCCGTCTTCGCTAGGACCACAGCTGAGGGCGTTGCCCGTGTCCGCAAGTCCAAGGGCAAGTTTGCCTTCCTCCTGGAATCCACCATGAATGAATACATTGAGCAGCGAAAGCCATGTGACACCATGAAAGTGGGCGGAAATCTGGATTCGAAAGGCTACGGAGTAGCCACACCAAAGGGTTCTTCATTAAGGTGGGTGGAATAATATAACAATCTAAAATGTGTTGTTATAGTATTCCACCTTCCCTGATGTCCCCGATCTAGTTCTTTTTGTGTTTTTCTGTGGACATGGTATGTTCTGTTTTCTTTTCTCCATTTCATATTTTCGATCGTCCAGGAGGTAACAGTTGCTCATAGCAAAATCCATTAAATAGTGACAATCAGTGTGTATCAGCCAAGGCCATATAAAAACCATACTCTCTCAACACTGCTTCCAAGTCTTTTTTTAAACAAAAGCCCAAGACCTGATGTTTACGCACAATGGCTTTTTAAGACAAAAACTGCAAAATTCCATTAAAAAAGTGGGAAATCACATTAGAACTGCTTGTGGAATTATGGACTTTGAAAATGGTCTTTAAAGTATTTGAAGCTCTTAATATTGCAGTACTGAAGTAGGGATAATCCTTGACTTGCAACCACAATTGAGCCCCAAAATTTCTTTTGCTAAAACAACAGTTGTTAAACGAGTTTTGCCCCATTTTATAAACTCTCTTGCCACAGTTGCTAAGTGAATCACAGCAGTTGTTAAGTTAGTAATACAGTTGGTCAGTGAATCTGGCTTCCCCGTTGACTTTGCTTGTCAGAAGGTAGCCTTTATCTTTTTATTATAGTGTACCTTGGTACTTATCGTTAATTGGTTTTGGGAAGCACGATGGGTACCAAAAATGAGTACCAAACAAATTTTTCCCATAAGGAATAATGTAGTGAATCACAAGTTAGTTGTCACCAACAAGTTCTAGCTTGTGTGTTGAGTACCAAACAAATGGTGAGTATCAGGACAAAATTTTCACATCAAAATGCATTGGGTACTAAATTTGATGAGTTTCAAAGCTGCTGAGTACTACCACTCTATTTAGCTGCTATTGTGTATAGGTTTTGTAAAATTTTATCTTTTTAATATTGTCAACCACTCAGAGTTACCTTGGGGTAAGATGGGTGATCGGATGGATGGATGGATGGATGGATGGATGGATGGATGGATGGATGGATGGATGGATGGATGGACAGGTAGGTAGATGGATGGGTGGATGGATGGATGGATGGATGGATGGGTAGGTAGGTGGATGGGTGGGTGGGTAAGTAGATGGATAGATAGATAGATAGATAGATAGATAGATAGATAGATAGATAGATAGATAGATAGATAGATAGATAGATAGATAGATGATAGATTTACAATAGATCTACAATAGTTATAAATACATGCCAATTGCTGAATACCAGAATTTTGAACACATGATCATGGAGATGCTGTAATAGTCAAAAGTCACTTTTTCAGTGCTAGTAGCTTTGAACAGTCACTAAATAAATGGTTGTAAGTCAAGGATTATCAGTATAGCATATAGATTCATTCAAACAAAAAAACAAAAACTTTTCCAAATGAGAATATTAAATATATTGCAGTGCAATCCCTAGTTCAGTTTATTCTGAAGTAAATCCCAATCTCTTCAGTGTAATTTATTCTCATAAGAATGAGCACATGAATTTGAGGTTGAGAATAAGTCCCACTGGAAAGAAAAGGAGGCTTACTTAGAACAGAACATATTTAAGATGATGCCGAACCTGTTTGTTTTTATATGCAAGCTGATTTGATTTGCAGATAAAAACAATCTTTCACCCCACCCTTTGATTTGTGTTTAAAAAAGGAAATAATCTACAAAGCATTCTGAATAATGGCAGCTGAAAAAGCTGTGGACAATTTCAGGGTACCAAAAAAAAAATGTAGTATTTCTCTTATAGTTCAGCTGCAAAAAAATCCACAGTCCCTCAGTTTAATGTATGCAAAGCAAGAAAAACATGACACAATAAAATTGTTCACACAATGCAATTTTCATCCCGGCAGGACTCAAGGATACTTGTTTAAAGCAGATATGTGATATAATCCCACTGCATATAGAATAGAATAGAATAGAATAGAATAGAATAGAATAGAATAGAATAGAATAGAATAGAATAGAATAATAGAACTCTTTATTGGCCAAGTGTGATTGGACACACAAGGAAGTTGTCTTGGTGCATATGCTCTCAGGGTACATAAAATAAACATTCGTCAAGAATCATAAGGTACAACACTTAATGATAGTCATAGGGTACAAATAAGCAATCTAATCATATTAGGAAACAGTCAATATAAATCGTAAGAATACAAGCAACAAGGTTACAGTCATATGTGGGAGAAGATGGGTGATAGGAACGATGAGAAGATTAATAGTAGTACAGACTTAGTAAATAGTTTGACAGTGTTGAGGGAATTATTTACTTATTAATTACTTATTGTTTATGGAAATTGCCAGATAAATTCAGATGGACATTAAAAAGTACAAAAAGAAATATTTAAAAATAGAAGCTTCATGAAGAGAGAGGCTTCCAACCCAACCAAAGGCCCACCCAGAGATTACAAATTCCTTAGTAAATCTAGAAACCATACTTTGAGGCTGTAGTGGCAATTGAAATATTCTTCTCTTTCCTCTTCAATCCTGGGTTTTCTTCATTCTTCCTTTTCTCAGACTTGGCTCTGCTCCTAGAAAACAAATCAGATTGCAACTGGATCCTGGAAAATAGCCCATTTTTCTCAATGGCTTCTGCAAAATTAATAGCCTTTGAAGAAACCATATTTCTCAAGCATATGTGATTGCTGTTGTGCTGTATAACATTGGGCCTGGCAGAGTAGAGACAGCGGAGAAAGAAAAAGCTCTTATCCCTGCTTCTGCAAAATTACAACTGTAGACATTCCAGGGTAAAGGGACAGATGTCCTGCTCTTTTTCTCCTCCTTGCATAGAATTCTTAATGATATGTTGGCATTTGGTGGTATGAAAGGAAGTTGTGAGTGGGTTCAGGAAATTGGAAGGAGAGAAGCGGGCAGGGAGGGGGGAGAGAGAGAGAGAGAGAGAGAGATCCTTGAGAGCTTACTGGATGGTGAAGGGCTATTCTCCAATTTGGGTTGGCTTGGAAATATGCCTGAGCAGCTGTTCACTAGACGAGATCGCTAGGGCTCACTGCCTTAGAAGAGTGAGGAAAATCCTCAGGGACAACTCACACCCTGGTCAGCACTTCTTTACCCTCCTACCATCGGGAAGGAGATATAGAAGCATAGCCAGCCACACAAAAAGGGTGAAGAACAGTTTTTATCTGTGGGCTGTCAGACTCCTGAATGCGAAATAACATCATAACTATGTAGTACGATGGACTTGCAGGGCCGACGCAACGTGTAACATGTTCACACTGGTGCAATAGGACTGGGTGTTTTGTTAATATGATTTATTGGGTTAGGAATTTTCTGTCTTCACTGTGAGTTGCATTGTGTTGGGGGAGGGTGCACTGAGGTAGCTCCACCAATCTCATTGTACATCTGTTGTGCAGTGACAATAAAGATTATTATTATTATTATTATTATTACTTTATTCATTAAACATGAAACTCAGTCAACTGAACGTTCAAAAATGCATCACAAATACCATTGACTGGTGCTAATGGTTGATACGGGTTGCTGCCAGCGTCCTAGGTATCAACCAAGTACCTTCTTAAGATGTACGATGTTCCAAGTAGCGCAGTTTTTTGCAGTTCCGCTGGTGATATTGCAGGAAGCTCCAATTTGTTGATGTATCTTATAAAATTCTTGGACATGGTATCAAGTGTCCCGGTGACAATGGGTATCACTGTTACATGTTTCATCCATAGCCATGTAGTTTCAATGGCCAGGTCGCGATATTTCATGATTTTTTCCAGTTCTTCTTGGATGAGAAGTGAAACATCTTCAAAAGAAAAAACAAGGAAGTCCAGTTGCCTCCTGAAAAAGTACCTCTGGGCCAATGCTGTTCTCTTGAAACTGTCTAAGATGCTATGCTGTTCCAAAGGTGCTTTTTCAAGAGGCAACTGGACTTTCTGGTTATTCTTTGAAGATGAAGAAGCTTCTTGGATGAGAAGCGAAATGTCTTCAAAGAAAAACCAGAAAGCCCAGTTGCCTCTTGAAAAAGCACCTTTGAGACAACCATGACCTGGATGACTGAGAATCTCCATAGATGTCTATGGTGTTGCCTAATACAAGTGATGCAACAAGGGACCAGCAGTGGAAGGCAAAGGAGAGGACAACTGATTGTGTTGTCTGTCCCTTCTGCCAAGCCTCTAATAAGTAAGTCTTCCACCACCCCCAGACTTCACAGCTCCCACAGTCCATCTTTTAATGAGGAGAACTGAAAATTATCACACATTGTGACTGCAGACCATCTGTTACTCTCACCTGCAATAATTTAGTACAAACAATGACAGCATAATGTATGTTTTCCCAGCTCAGTTGAAGATCTAGCATCTTCATTGATAAAGTATGCCAAGTTTGGTTAGATTTACATTTGATCAGGAGTTTTTCGGTTATGCAGATTTGCCTCTTTGCAGATTCATTATTCAATATATTATGTCAATGCAAAAACAGTATTCAAAAAACCCAGAAAACACAGAAAAATGGGTTAATGCAGTAACAAAGTTGCTTGTGTTCTGTAAATGCAACTCGGGTATCATTTGCAGTGTAGGACATGCATCATTTTCTGAATTCAAGAATAAATTGTCCATATATTTACTGAAGGTTTTTCTGTAGAACATTAAGTAGTGTAACGATTGGATCAGGTTTGGACAATTTTCCTCATTGCTTCAGGGCACAGCCATTCATTTTCTCTATTTCTCTGTAGTTTCCCTCCTCAGCTTCATAGACATTCTTCATCATCAATAATTCTGATAAAATGAAGACAAATTCTTTAGAGGAAGTAGAGAGAATTGTGAATCTCTTGGAATTTTGGTAACTGGAAGCAGTGATTTAGATTATAAAGATGTATGAGAAGTTCCTAAATTCAGTAAAGCTAGATTTCCAGCACAAAGCCAACGAAAACATTGTTATACATGGAAAAGTGTCAAGCAAATGCGAACATTTGGGTGATAATAATTGGTAACTAATGGCGTAGGCTCAGGATTTTTGCTGCTACGT